CAGCTGGCCGCGGAGGTCGGCGAGCCACGCCTCAAAGTCGACCGCGCGACCCTCCGCGTCCAGGCGGAGCACAGCGTCCGCCACAACCACAGCTGCGGCGCAACGGCACGGCGGCACGACGACGTGGCGGCACAACGTCACGGCGGCAAGGCGGCATGGCGACACGGCGGCACGGCAGCCCAGCGGCACGGCGGCACAGCGGGAGGGCGAGCTGGGGCAGCGCGGCTCGGCAAGCAGAGGGAGCCGGCGGTGGGCCGGCGAGCCAGGCCCGACGAGCAGGGACCGGCGCGAGCTGGGGGGCGGCGAGAGCAGGGGCCGGCAAGTTTGGACTGGCGCGAACTGGGGCCGGCGAGCTAGGGCCAGCGAGCTAGGGCTGACGAGCTAGGGGGCCACGCGACGAGGAAAGGGGCTCGCGTGGCGCGCGAAGGGCGCGCTAGGGGTCAGTGGCGAGCTAGGGGTCAGCGGGCTAGGGCGAGGGCGTGATAGGGCAGGCGTTAGGGACTAGGGCGGAAGCACGGGCAGGAGACCTAACCTAGCGTAATACCATCTCAGAATTGCACATTGAAACTAAACAAGGGCACACAAGGTGTTATTATGCTTGTGTGCTGTACCCTCTAAGAGCATGCACCTATCTAGCCAAAAACAGCAAATATATATGAGTTGACATTGAATACCCGAACTTTGCACTTCGTATTTAGCAAAACGAGTACTTCATGTTAGACCTTTCTAATAAGAATGTATAGGCGTTGGTCAATATGGAAGTCTTTTAGGTTCGTGCTGTCCCCAGCCAAGCGCATGAGCAGACCACCGAATGAAACATAGATTTCACTGATCCACGCCGCAGCCACGGAGGGATGAAAGTAGCAGAAGGAAGAGAATGAAAAGGCAGAAACACAGGATCAGAGGAACAGGAGGACGTCTGCAAGCCACTTGAGCACGAAATAGAGAGAACTAGAGGGCTGGGGTTAGGATTGAAGGCAGCATCCAAAACGACGTGCGGAAATGCTCTCCACAAGCAGCAAGAACAGCATTTTAAGTTTCGAATTGCGACACCACTTGACGAACAGTGTGTGCGACATGTGATACGTTTATGGCTTGGAGTGTGTGTGCCTGGATAAATGCATGAATTCTGGTGGAATGCAGGTTTTAGGTTCAGTAGCCCCACACCCAGAGGGTGCGCTCTGAGCGTGAAGCACTCCAAGGGGCCGCCATCAGAGAAGCACCAGAGACTCACGCGTCAGAGGAGCTGCCCCCGGCGTCGCTGTACTTGTACAGCTTGCCGTACATCACGTACTCGTAGCGGTCCATCAGCGACCGCCGCCCCGACTGCACACAGCGGATGGGTTGGGCTCAAGAGAGAGGGCGGGGGAGGGGGGAGAGGGCGGGGGCCCGGGGGCAACGGCAGAGAGATCATTCCTTGCTGTGCAGCGCATCACGTGCTCGTAGCGGTCCATCAGCGACCGCCGCCCCGACTGCACCATGGGCCATGGGGTACACCTCTGATTGGCGGTGCACCATGGGCCATGGGGTATAAACATGGGCAATAGGCGAGTCGAGCATTACTTGCTCCGAGTAATTCTGACTCGACCCTCTTGGGAGGCGAGTCGAGCATTACTCGAGTCGAGTTTTTTTGCCAAGAACCCGACTCGTTTACTCGTTTTTGGGCCGAGTAAACGTTTTACTCGGGGCGAGTAATTTTTACTCGCCCTGAGGCAAGCTTTACTCGCCTCGGGGCTCTTTGCCCCCCCTCCCCGAACAGTCACAGTTTAGGAGGGGAGCATTTTAGGGGTCTGAATCATTAGGCCAGCCCAAGATGACTTGGCATGCATGCTATGTGTGAGGAATATCAGTGCACGCGCGGAGTTGTTGCTCGCGAGTAATTTTTACTCGCCCAAATGAGACGAGTAACAGTCGAGTACTCGTTTACTCGACGAGTTAACTCGACTCGACTCGGGGCGAGTAATTTCCAGGGGGTGCCGACTCGTTACTCGGAAAAAACGAGTCGAGCAATCGAGTCGAGTTTTTACTCGCCTCGACTGCCCATGCATAATGGGATACCCCTCTGATTGGCGGTGCACCATGGGCCATGGGATACCCCTCTGATTGGCGGTGCAACTTGCGACTCGCAAGGCAGCTAAACCCTAAGCGGCCGACGGGCAACCCTTCCAGGCTGAGCGTGGCAGGGCGAACTAGTCGCCATCAGTCCCGGGAGGCACTCCTCCATTAAAAGAATCAAAGCACCCTGCACCCTGCACCCTGCACCCTGCTCCTTGCACCATGCACCCTGCACCCTGCACCTGCACCCTGCACCCTGCACTCTGCACCCTGCACCCTGCACCCTGCACCCTGCACCCTGCTCCTTGCACCCTGCGTGCACCCTCCCTGGAAGCACCCTGTGTGCACCCCGTGCAGCCCCCACCTGGTCGTACACCCCTTCGTCCGTGACGCCCTCGAGGCTGAGCGTGGGCGAGAGCGCGAGGGTGAGCTTGTCCCCGGCGGCCAGGGGGTACACCTCCGTGTTCACGTCCAGCGACAGCTGCATGTCAAACTGCTCGCTGCGCGCCTCGATGCGCGACACTGGGGGGAGTACCGGGAGGGTGGGGGAGTAGGGAGGGTTTGGGGGGGGTGGGTAGAGGGAGTAAGGGGCGTGATACAGACCAATCTAGCGATAGCTGCATGTCAAGCTGCTCACTGCGCGCTTCTAAGCGGGAGACTGCAGGGGAGGGCGGAGGTACAAGGGGCGTTCGTGGGGAGAGCAAGGCGCAAGAGTGGGGGAACCAAGGGGCACGGGTTGGGGCAGAAAGGGGTGTGGATAAACCATCTCACGAGGTCTGCGAGTCAAACTGTTTATCGAATCGCGGGAGCTGTGGGGATACGTGTGGGGAGAAAAGGGGGCATGGGTTGGAGCATGATAGGGGGCATGGGTTGGAGCATGATAGGGGGCATGGGTTGGAGCATGATAGGGGGCATGGGTTGGAGCATGATAGGGGGCATGGGTTGGAGCATGATAGGGGGCATGGGTTGGAGCATGATAGGGGCATGGGTTGGAGCATGATAGGGGCATGGAAGGGGGCGGTGGGTGGGAGGAGGAAAGAAGAGAATAGGGTAGTGGTACGGTTTGCTGTTCGGCTACAGCCAGAGATGGCGAGGGAGCACGGCTGAGACGCACAGAGAGCTCACTGCGGCGGCCGAAGGCCGAGTTTCAAGGTTTGTGGTTTATGGTCGGGTTTAGGGGATTGACGCGAGCGCAAAACCCCAGATCGGAGCATGCGTTGCCTGAGGAAATAATACAACGGGAAGAATACGGGTGGTCGCGGCAAGCATTCTTCTTAAGACACCGCTCTCAGGGCCTCCCGCCCCTCCTCCGAATGGCGGGCCGCCCGCCCCTCGACGGCACGCCTGCGCCTGCGAGGGCAGCCGCGTTGCTGCTGGCGCCGCTGCCGGCGTCGCTGCTGGGTGCTGGGACTCGTTTTGTGAAATCTAAGAATCGAATTCCATGAAGCAGAGCCCCTGGCGGCGCAGGGTGGGAGGCAGGCGCGGCGGTCGCAGACGGTGGTGGGACTGGCCGCAGCAGTCGCTCGGGCGCAGGGCAGACGCGCGGTGGGATTGGGGTGAGGGCCGTGAGCCATCGGCGCGCAGCGGGGGAGGCTGGCGCGTTAAGGTCTGAAATGTTTTAAGCCTGCCATAGGCTTACGAGCCGGGGGCAGGCGAGCGGCAGGCGGCGACATGCGCGAGCACAATGAGGGGCCGCGGAGGGCTGCGCGCGAGGCGTGCGCGCGAGGCGTGCGCGCGAGGCGTGCGGTGGCAGACTGGGTGAAAGAGGGCTGCAGCACAAGGCTCGTTGGCACGAGGCGGCTGCGCGAGCAACGCATGCGGAGCAGCACTAGACCCGAGCACCGCTCAAACCCGAGGAGAAGCACCGGACCTCGAGACGCATCGTCTGCGGCCGCTGTCAAACCCTTTCCCGCCATCGTCTGGCCAGGCGCGAGGCGCATGGTGGCGAGGGAACGGACGAACCTTTGTCGAACTTCTTCCCGCCGACGTCCATGTCCGTGAGCGTGAAGATGTCCTCGAACAGAATGCTGTCCGCCATGCCGCCACTCGCGCGCGCGCCCACGCGAGGAGCCGCCAACGCTGCTTGTAGGGCGGGTAGCAATGCGTGAGTTAACGGGCGACAAGCAAACTCGCTGCTGCCAACTGTTGACCAGGTGGGACGCGAATACTTATGCGCTCTACTCCTAACCCCCCATGCGAATCCGCTAATCGACTTGATTCCGCGCCAGACGCCGTAGCGGTGGCTGCGATGGGTGCAGCTTTGGGAGTGGAGCGACGTCCGATCTGACTTCGAGGGCTGGCACTAAAAGCCGGGCATGCTGCTGGCTGGGTGCTCCGTGTGGTTGGCGTTTCCCTAAGCACCCTGCTCAGCCCCAGGCCCGGTTGCTTTCGTGCGACCACCGCGACTACAAGGCTCGAGTTTCGAGATTTCAGGCAGGACAGGTGGGCCCTGCCCGAAACATGGTACACAAACCATCCCAAAGCTAGGGCGGCCGAAAGTTACAAACCTGAGTGTACTCGCCCTCATTACCTGCTTCAGGCATCTTCGCTAACGTCACCAAAGTGCGATTTCAAGGTTGGGAGATAGCTGAGACGACTAATAATCGCTACAATTTACCGCCTCCCCTCCCCTCATTCTCGTTCTTGTTTCCCCTCGCCATATCCTCTCCTCGCTCCTCACTCAGGGCGTATTCCTACAGGACAGTGTTCAGTACCAGCAAACCCGAAGTCGAATCTGCAATGCGATACAGAGAGGTCCGAGCGCCGAAACGCAAATTCCTGTGCGGTTCAGTTTGGTAGTTCGCAAAGTTGATTTCCTGGTCTGAACGCGCTGAAGTAGGAATACGCCCTCAGTCCTGCACGTCCTAGGTACCGTTCGACCAAAGAACCAGAAAGCATTTTCAGTGGAAAGAAGCATTCGTGATTTCACAATGACGAGCTGATGTTTAGTCGCAATGCTGAAGCGCCGTCATTTCCCCTGCCAGCACGACGATGTAGACTAAGGTAGTGACGGCCAGCCGGTCCAGTCACGTTCATCGCACCCCCTCTTGCTTTCTTTCCGCCAGCCTGCCCTCTCGCGTTTCTGCCGCCCTGCTCGTCCAGCCATCCATCACAAACTGCTAGGGTTTCAGCAGGAGCAGGCTGTGGCTTCGACTCGCTGCGGCGGTGAAGTGCACCCGGCAGTTCAACTCGGAATTCAACCTGAAGAAGCCCCCGATACGGCAAGACAGGCCCTTCCTGTCTTGTCCGTTGTGTCCTGTCTCGGCTGTGAAGCGGCTGCATCTACCAGCTTCTGAAGCTGTCTCCAATCCAGGCCCAACAAGTCCCGTGTGTCAGCCGACCACTTGGTCCACGTGGCTCCAGTTTGAAGCTTGTACCGCTGGACAACCTCACTTACCGTGCGCGCTCTGCAGCGCCCATTAAGCCCGTTGGGAACTTCGACGTAAAACGGCTGGTAGAAGATCTCACGAGGAAATGGCGGCGGCGCAAGATATGGAGTTTGTCTTAACAAACGGAATGGTGCTGAACGTGCAGCTGAGGGAGATAGCAGGAGGGATGGGGGCGCGAATGGAGGAGGTGAATGCGCAGGTGAAGCAGCAGGGCGCGGCGATAGCGGCCTTGAAGCGAGCTGGACAGGCTCACACAGGCTGCAGGGGCAGCTGGGCAGGGGGCTGGGAGGGCCGGAGGAGAGGGTAGCTTGCGGGAGGCAGTGGAAGGGATAGCGTCGGAGCGGGTGCGCGGCGTGAGGGGCGAGTTTGCCACGCAAACGGAGGGATTGAGGGCGGAAGTGGAGCGGTGGAAGGAGCAGGCGGAGGGGTGCAAGGAGCAAGTGGAGGTGCTGGACGCGTGGAAGGAAAGAGCGGAGGCGGCGAGGAGGGGGAGGTGGGACGAGGTGAGCGCGATGAAGCGCGGCATGGCGCGGCTGAGAGCGGCCGTGGCCGGGCACGCGAGGCAGATGGCGGGGCTGGAGGCTGCAGGGATGCGGGCAGATGGAAGGCGTGGGGGCAGAGCCGCGAGGGGTGGAGCAGGGCGGATAGAAGAGGCAGAGGAGGGACGAGGTGAAGACGGAGCCGGGCACCTCCAATGGGCTTCTACAGAGTGGCGCAGCTGCTGGCCATTCTGCTGCCCTGGACGAGACTGGCAGCGTAGGAGAATGGAGGGCGGCGGTGCAAGAGGTGCGGGCTATGGTGGCAGAAGTGAGAAGGGACGTGGATGGGCTGAGGGGGAGAGTGGGCGGGGTGGAGAAGAGGGGCGCAGGAGAGGGGATGAGGGACACGGAGGAGCGGGCGCTGAGGGGGGAGGTGGACGCGCTGAAGAGCAGACTGCCTGAGATGGAGGGCGGCACGGGCGCTGAGAGAGAAGATCTGGAGGTGAGTGCATGGAGGAAAAGCGGCCTGTTGCAGGTGCTGGTTTCTGGCAGTAGCATGTGGGGTGTGTTGCATGTGGGGTGTGTTGCATGTGGGGTGTGTTGCATGTGGGGTGTGTTGCATGTGGGGTGTGTTGCATGTGGGGTGTGTTGCATGTGGGGTGTGTTGCATGTGGGATGTGTTGCATGTGGGGTGTGTTGCATGTGGGGTGTGTTGCATGTGGGGTGTGTTGCATGTGGGGTGCGTTGCATGTGGGGTGTGTTGTATTGTATGTGGGGTGTGTTGCATGTGGGGTGTGTTGCATGTGGGGTGTGTTGCATGTGGGGTGTGTTGCATGTGGGGTGTGCTGCATGTGGGGTGTGTTGCATGTGGGATGTGTTGCATGTGGGGTGTGTTGCATGTGGGATGTGTAGTATATGGGGTGTGTTGCAGGTGGGATGTGTTGCACGTGGGATGTGTTGCACGTGGGATGTGTAGCAGGTAGGATGTGTTGCATGTAGGGTGTGTTGCATGTGGGATGTGTTGCATGTGGGGTGTGTTGCATGTGGGGTGTGTTGCATGTGGGGTGTGTTGCATGTGGGGTGTGTTGCATGTGGGGTGTGTTGCATGTGGGGTGGGTTGCATGTGGGGTGGGTTGCATGTGGGGTGTGTTGCATGTGGGGCGTGTTGCATGTGGGATGTGTAGCATGTGGGGTGTGTTGCATGTGGGGTGTGCTGTGTGTGGGGTGTGTTGCATGTAGGGTGTGTTGCATGTGGGGTGTGTTGCATGTGGGGTGTGTTGCATGTGGGGTGTGTTGCATGTGGGGTGTGTTGCATGTGGGGTGTGTTGCATGTGGGGTGTGCTGCATGTGGGGTGTGCTGCATGTGGGGTGTGTTGCATGTGGGATGTGTTGCATGTGGGGTGTGTTGCATGTGGGGTGTGTTGCATGTGGGGTGTGTTGCATGTGGGGTGTGCTGCATGTGGGGTGTGCTGCATGTGGGGTGTGTTGCATGTGGGGTGTGTTGCATGTGGGGTGTGTTGCATGTGGGGTGTGTTGCATGTGGGGTGTGTTGCATGTGGGGTGTGTTGCATGTGGGGTGTGTTGCATGTGGGGTGTGCTGCATGTGGGGTGTGCTGCATGTGGGGTGTGTTGCATGTGGGATGTGTTGCATGTGGGGTGTGTTGCATGTGGGGTGTGTTGCATGTGGGGTGTGTTGCATGTGGGGTGTGTTGCATGTGGGGTGTGTTGCATGTGGGGTGTGCTGCATGTGAAGTGTGCTGCATGTGGGGTGTGTTGCATGTGGGGTGTGTTGCATGTGGGGTGTGTTGCATGTGGGGTGTGTTGCATGTGGGATGTGTTGCATGTGGGGTGTGTTGCATGTGGGGTGTGTTGCATGTGGGGTGTGTTGCATGTGGGGTGTGTTGCATGTGGGGTGTGTTGCATGTGGGGTGTGCTGCATGTGGGGTGTGCTGCATGTGGGGTGTGTTGCATGTGGGATGTGTTGCATGTGGGATGTGTTGCATGTGGGGTGTGTTGCATGTGGGGTGTGTTGCATGTGGGGTGTGTTGCATGTGGGATGTGTTGCATGTGGGATGTGTAGCGTGTGGGATGTGTTGCATGTGGGATGTGTTGCATGTGGGATGTGTTGCATGTGGGGTGTGTTGCATGTGGGGTGTGTTGCATGTGGGTGTGTGCATGTGGGGTGTGTTGCATGTGGGGTGTGTTGCATGTGGGGTGTGTTGCATGTGGGGTGTGTTGCATGTGGGGTGTGTTGCATGTGGGATGTGTTGCATGTGGGGTGTGTTGCATGTGGGGTGTGTTGCATGTGGGGTGTGTTGCATGTGGGGTGCGTTGCATGTGGGGTGTGTTGTATTGTATGTGGGGTGTGTTGCATGTGGGGTGTGTTGCATGTGGGGTGTGTTGCATGTGGGGTGTGTTGCATGTGGGGTGTGCTGCATGTGGGGTGTGTTGCATGTGGGATGTGTTGCATGTGGGGTGTGTTGCATGTGGGATGTGTAGTATGTGGGGTGTGTTGCAGGTGGGATGTGTTGCACGTGGGATGTGTTGCACGTGGGATGTGTAGCATGTAGGATGTGTTGCATGTAGGGTGTGTTGCATGTGGGATGTGTTGCATGTGGGGTGTGTTGCATGTGGGGTGTGTTGCATGTGGGGTGTGTTGCATGTGGGGTGTGTTGCATGTGGGGTGTGTTGCATGTGGGGTGGGTTGCATGTGGGGTGGGTTGCATGTGGGGTGTGTTGCATGTGGGGCGTGTTGCATGTGGGATGTGTAGCATGTGGGGTGTGTTGCATGTGGGGTGTGCTGTGTGTGGGGTGTGTTGCATGTAGGGTGTGTTGCATGTGGGGCGTGTTGCATGTGGGGTGTGTTGCATGTGGGGTGTGTTGCATGTGGGGTGTGTTGCATGTGGGGTGTGTTGCATGTGGGGTGTGCTGCATGTGGGGTGTGTTGCATGTGGGGTGTGTTGCATGTGGGATGTGTTGCATGTGGGGTGTGTTGCATGTGGGGTGTGTTGCATGTGGGGTGTGTTGCATGTGGGGTGTGCTGCATGTGGGGTGTGCTGCATGTGGGGTGTGTTGCATGTGGGGTGTGTTGCATGTGGGGTGTGTTGCATGTGGGGTGTGTTGCATGTGGGGTGTGTTGCATGTGGGGTGTGTTGCATGTGGGGTGTGTTGCATGTGGGGTGTGCTGCATGTGGGGTGTGCTGCATGTGGGGTGTGTTGCATGTGGGATGTGTTGCATGTGGGGTGTGTTGCATGTGGGGTGTGTTGCATGTGGGGTGTGTTGCATGTGGGGTGTGTTGCATGTGGGGTGTGTTGCATGCGGGGTGTGCTGCATGTGGGGTGTGCTGCATGTGGGGTGTGTTGCATGTGGGGTGTGTTGCATGTGGGGTGTGTTGCATGTGGGGTGTGTTGCATGTGGGATGTGTTGCATGTGGGGTGTGTTGCATGTGGGGTGTGTTGCATGTGGGGTGTGTTGCATGTGGGGTGTGTTGCATGTGGGGTGTGTTGCATGTGGGGTGTGCTGCATGTGGGGTGTGCTGCATGTGGGGTGTGTTGCATGTGGGATGTGTTGCATGTGGGATGTGTTGCATGTGGGGTGTGTTGCATGTGGGGTGTGTTGCATGTGGGGTGTGTTGCATGTGGGATGTGTTGCGTGTGGGATGTGTAGCGTGTGGGATGTGTTGCATGTGGGATGTGTTGCATGTGGGATGTGTTGCATGTGGGGTGTGTTGCATGTGGGGTGTGTTGCATGTGGGGTGTGTTGCATGTGGGGTGTGTTGCATGTGGGGTGGGTTGCATGTGGGGTGTGTTGCATGTGGGGCGTGTTGCATGTGGGATGTGTAGCATGTGGGGTGTGTTGCATGTGGGGTGTGCTGTGTGTGGGGTGTGTTGCATGTAGGGTGTGTTGCATGTGGGGGATGTTGCATGTGGGGTGTGTTGTATTGTATGTGGGGTGTGTTGCATGTGGGGTGTGTTGCATGTGGGGTGTGCTGCATGTGGGGTGTGCTGCATGTGGGGTGTGTTGCATGTGGGGTGTGTTGCATGTGGGGTGTGTTGCATGTGGGATGTGTTGCATGTGGGGTGTGTTGCATGTAGGGTGTGTTGCATGTGGGGTGTGCTGCATGTGGGGTGTGTTGCATGTGGGATGTGTTGCATGTGGGGTGTGTTGCATGTGGGATGTGTAGTATGTGGGGTGTGTTGCAGGTGGGATGTGTTGCACGTGGGATGTGTTGCACGTGGGATGTGTAGCATGTAGGATGTGTTGCATGTAGGGTGTGTTGCATGTGGGATGTGTTGCATATGGGGTGTGTTGCATGTGGGGTGTGTTGCATGTGGGGTGTGTTGCATGTGGGGTGTGTTGCATGTGGGGTGTGTTGCATGTGGGGTGGGTTGCATGTGGGGTGGGTTGCATGTGGGGCGTGTTGCATGTGGGATGTGTAGCATGTGGGATGTGTAGCATGTGGGGTGTGTTGCATGTGGGGTGTGCTGTGTGTGGGGTGTGTTGCATGTAGGGTGTGTTGCATGTGGGGTGTGTTGTATTGCATGTGGGGTGTGTTGTATTGTATGTGGGGTGTGTTGCATGTGGGGTGTGTTGTATTGTATGTGGGGTGTGTTGCATGTGGGGTGTGTTGCATGTGGGGTGTGTTGCATGTGGGGTGTGTTGCATGTGGGGTGTGTTGCATGTGGGGTGTGCTGCATGTGGGGTGTGCTGCATGTGGGGTGTGTTGCATGTGGGGTGTGTTGCATGTGGGTGTGTTGCATGTGGGGTGTGTTGCATGTGGGGTGTGTTGCATGTGGGGTGTGTTGCATGTGGGGTGTGTTGCATGTGGGGTGTGCTGCATGTGGGGTGTGCTGCATGTGGGGTGTGTTGCATGTGGGGTGTGTTGCATGTGGGGTGTGTTGCATGTGGGGTGTGTTGCATGTGGGGTGTGTTGCATGTGGGGTGTGCTGCATGTGGGGTGTGCTGCATGTGGGGTGTGTTGCATGTGGGGTGTGTTGCATGTGGGGTGTGTTGCATGTGGGGTGTGTTGCATGTGGGGTGTGTTGCATGTGGGATGTGTTGCATGTGGGGTGTGTTGCATGTGGGGTGTGTTGCATGTGGGGTGTGTTGCATGTGGGGTGTGTTGCATGTGGGGTGTGTTGCATGTGGGGTGTGCTGCATGTGGGGTGTGTTGCATGTGGGATGTGTTGCATGTGGGATGTGTTGCATGTGGGGTGTGTTGCATGTGGGGTGTGTTGCATGTGGGGCGTGTTGCATGTGGGATGTGTTGCATGTGGGATGTGTAGCGTGTGGGATGTGTTGCATGTGGGATGTGTTGCATGTGGGATGTGTTGCATGTGGGGTGTGTTGCATGTGGGGTGTGTTGCATGTGGGGTAGACATGGGCAAAGTGCGATTGCGATTTAAATCGCATCGCATGCAGGTGCGATGATTTAAAATGCGATGCGATTTTAAATCGCATCGCGCGATTTATTTTTTGGAAAAAAAATACATCGCACATCGCATTTTGCCTGCGATGTATTTAAAAATCGCAGGCGATGTTTTATTAAATCGCGCGATGCGATATAAAATCGCATCGCATTTATAAAAGTTTCCAAAACAAATCTGCATACTTGGAACAAAAAACCTTCAGAAAACTAGAACACGTGATGGTGCGGCCATTGACGAATAAAAATACCGTTCAGAGTGGGTTTCACACAAATGCGAGCCCCGTGGTAAGGGCCCGACTTTCGTAGCTTAAAACAAGTAAGTGCATGGGTTTCAAAAGGGGGGGGAGGGGGGGCGGGAGGGGGGGGGGGCAGGGGAGGGTAGCTGCCAGCTGGATGGTGTGAAAAGTATGAGGGTGCGGGAAAGGAGGGAGGGGGGTTCAAAGGGGGGGGGGATGAGGGAGGGAAAGGGAGGAAGCGAGCATGAAGCATAGTCATCATCGGTCCAGCACGTTGTCAATATAAATAAGGTGATGTCCTATCAGTTCCCGAACCCCCCAGCAGCACGGTAGGTAGCCCTCAAAGCCCTGGACCTATCTCAAGGCCCAGCTCCCACGCCTCGTCGGCCGTCTCGACATCTTCGGCTGCTACCGCGCCATCAAGTCGCTGTCCAGGGTGAGAGGCAATCCATGACTTCAGCATCATGCAAGCACGGATTCGCTCCGCACCCAAGCGGTAGCGCTGCCAGTGGATGAGGTTGCGGCCCTGTGAGAACAGGCGCTCGCAGGGGGCAGAGGTGGCCGGGATGGCGAGGTAATCCCGAGCCATGCGCTGTAGCGCTGGAAGCTCCTGGTGGACCTTCCAGAACTGCAAGGGGCAGTCGTGCAGTTCCGCCAAGGGGAGTGACAGGTACTGCTGGATCTCGTCCTGCACCGATGAGATCTGTGCGGCCCGCACTGTTGCGAGGTGAGTAAACACACCCAAGTCCTCATCCTCCTCATCCTCGGACTCCCTCAGATCTACTCCCGTCCCGCTGCTGCCCCCCTCTACCGATGCTGCTGCCCCCCTCTTCTCAGCCACCTCCTCATCCATCTTTCTCTTGTACGTCTCCCACCTATCGCGCACCAACTGCTCCACCTCGCCGGCATCCAACTCCTCCACCACCCTAGTGCTCCCCTCCACCATAGGCCGCTCAAACCACACTCGCTTCAGTGCCGGATCCAAGAATGTGGCCACGTTGAGGTCATCGGTGCTGGAGTAGAAATACGTGAGCATTTTCTCCAAGGCCTGGGACACGCACCGCGCCATGACCGACCCCGGCTTCGCCGCTGACAGCTTGCGCTCCAGCCAGTCCAGTACCCCATTGTACTGTGGCACCACACGCGCCACAGTTGGGTACACCGACCCCTCCGCCGCCAGAGTCACGTTGTTGAATGGCGCTAGGAACGCCATTAATTCCTGCAGTATCGCCCACTCATCGTCTGTAACGGCCTTCTGGTCCAGGTCGGCCTGCTCCTTCTTGTTACACCCCTGGAGTAGAGCAAACAAGGGTGTGGGGGAGGGGGAGGAGTGGGGAGCCGGGAACGGAGGGGGGACGGGGGGCAATCGTTCTGGCAGTGGCTTGGAGTGTGGCGGGGGGGACACGGCCGGGCGATGGAGGTAAGTAGGCGGCAGAGGGTTTGTGGTAACCAAGGTACATGACATACCTCCCTAGCCACAAAAGCCCTGATTGGGCCTTTGAGCTCGATCGCTCGCCGCAGCATGGCGTGGGTGGAGCCCCAGCGCACCGGATTGTCCTGTTTCAACTTCAAGGGTTGCTTCCCAGGGAACTGGTGACGCTGCTCCTTCTCGAAGGCCGCCGTCTTGGTCACTGAGAAGCCAATGCGCGACGCGAGGTTGCGCAGCTTCTTCAGTGGCGCTTCCACCTCCGGCACCCCACCCATAGCCTCCTGCACTGCGAGGTTGTTGACATGGGCGAGGCACCTGCACCAAGCACAAAGTTTTGGAGGTTAAAAGGGATGACCACGCCTTGTCGAAGGGTTAGACCAACTACGGCCTGCTTGGTGGAAAATCATCTGCAGTGAAACATGGGGTGATGTCATACCGGACGTGAGCAGCCTTGCCGAACAAGGGGGTCGCGCGCGTCTTCCCATCTCCCTGATCCCCTGCCTTGAGAAGATCGAATGCCGCCCCGTTCACAGACGCGTTGTCGGTCGTGAGCGCCATACACCGCCCGGCAAGCCCCCAATCCTCGATCACATCCTCCAGGATGTTGGCGACCATCCTCGCTGTGTGGCCGGCAGGAAGAGGCCTGAAGTCCAACGTCGCCTGCTTCAGGGTCCACTGTGCATCGATGTAATGCGCAGTGACGCCCATGAAACCGATGTCGTTCTCCGCCGACCAAATGTCCGTCGTGTAGGAGATCGCACCCACCCCCTTGTCAGCCGCCAACTCAGCCTTGGCCAACTCCTTGCACTGTGCCGCCTGTCGCATGATGAGACGAGCCAGCTTGTGCCGCGAAGGAATGACTCCCGGCTGAGCAAGCCGGGGGTTGGCCTCACCCATGAGGCGGCGGAACTGATGGAAGGCGAGAAAGGGTGAAAGAAAGAGGTGAGGCCATGACGAGTGGATGGCGAGGAAGGGATGTACCAAACAGGATAACGTGACACAAGAACACGCCGTGGGGAGGGTGGCTGGGACTCACACTGTCTCGCTCGACTGTGCAAAACGCAGAGTCGGTGTCGACAATGTACTCGACGAGCAGCTGCTCCCAGCGCGGCAGGTCAAGGGGTTTCTGCATGTAACGCATAATCCCGCGCCCCCTCTCCCGGCCGACCGAAGGCCCGTCATCCTCCGCGTCCTCCAACTTGGGCCAATATGCCGATCCCCACCAGGTACTGCCCCCGTCGGGGACCTCTCCGTCCCCAAACCCCCCCTTTGGTAGCTGGTCCCCGACCTTCATTTCCCCCTCCCGCCTTAGCCGCATCAAGATGTCCCAATGAGCCCTGTGGTAACCAACCATGTGGGACCGCCCGTTCGACGTGGTGCGGCTCGCGAAGCTCACTAGGAAGTTGCACATCCTACACCTCCTCCAACCCGGTGCCGCCTCCTCCATGTCAAAACAAGCCGCAACACACAGTCGAGGTTCCTTCTCCACCTCCGTGGAGGAGCCCACATGACCCTGGTCAGTCGCCCCATGACCCTCACCCCGGCCACCTCCCGCCCTTCCCCCCCCCCTCCCGGCATCCGTGGGAGCCCGGGCCGCACCTCGGACCCTCCCTCCTCCCCCTCCGCTCCCCTGCGCCTCGTGGAGGTATCCGGGTGACATGCCAGGCCTGCCGACATCCTCGCGCAGCAGTCCCTTCCGCCCCCTGGGCCGGCCACGGGGGCGGCCCCTGGGCGCCCCCCCCAACCCCCCATCTCCCTCTGCAGGTTTACGTGCCTTCTTCCCCGAAGAACCGACCGAGGGAGAAGGCCCGTCATCCACCTTGCGCTTCCCCTTCTCCTCGCCGCCAGCTCCCCCATCCTCCTCCCCATCCCCCTCCTCCTCCGCCACAACGTCGTCGTCATCACCCTCCTCCTCCTCAGCTTGCTCCTCATCCCCCTCCTCATAGGCAGTCCGCACCCCCTCCGCCGATGCTCGGATCCGCCAAGCATCCCCGTCCTCCGCCTCATCCCTAACGGCCGCCTTGCCCGCAAGGGCGGGCTCCGTTGCGACGGCCGCGCCACTCCCCTGCGTCCCAATCCCGCCGTTGCCTGGGGCTCCTCCCATGTGCCCGTCGCCTTCCACCCCTAGAGAGGTACCCGCCTTAATCCCCTGCAGCTTCGCGAATGCCGCCTCCGTTAGCATCCTGCGCTGCGCGCGTGCTTCCTTGCCAGTCAATGCGTGCGCTCCAGTCTGGGCATCCGGTTCATCCTCGCGGCCGCGACCCGCGCCACCACCACTCCTACCGCCCCCACGCCCCGCACCTGCTCCACCCTGCTTGCCCATCGCGAGTTGTTAAAGCGACTCCTCAACCTAAACCCTAAACCCTAACGCGGCCGAGTCGATGCGCGTCGCGCGATATACCCTGCCACTGCAACTTGCGGCTGAATAAGATACGCAATGGAAAAAGCGGCAGTGGCCGTGCGTCGTGGCTAGAATATAGCTGGCGAACGGTGAAAATCCCTAGCGACACCACCAACGTGGCAAAATGCGTGCGCGAATGACGTGGATCGACTATAAGGCCATGCGGCGCACAATCTACTACTCGTCGTCTACAAATTTCATTTCAGCCACCAAAAACCGTGAAGAACGGTGTGCTTTGGAGTACTTGGAGATGTGTGCAAAGCCCTAAAACGTTCTCTCAAACGAAAGAGAGTTTGAGAAATGCGTTTTGGGGCTTTGCAAATTTTCCCTTTGTGCTGGCGAGATTTCGCGCTGCGATGTATTTCGACATCGCGCGCGATTTAATTTAAATCGCAAATCGCGTTTAAATCGCGATTTTCGGCCGCGATTTACATGCGATTTAATTTAAATCGCGCGATAAATAAATCATCGCATCGCGCGATGAATTAAAAAAAAAAAAATACATCGCCATCGCAAAACGCGATTAATCGCGATGCGATGCGATGCGATGCGATTTAAATTGCTCATGTCTACACTATACCCCGGGTCGGGTAATGGTTGTGGGCCAGTTACCCGACTACTACCCGACCTGAAGTCGGGTAAGGCAAAATCGGGTACGGGTGGGTAATTAACCCCTTTTGCCCAACCCTACTCCCATCCCTTCCCCGCATTCCCCTCCCTCTCTCTCCCCCACTACCAGGCATGCTGGATGGACGTGCTATCGGACTCGCCTCTGTCCCAGCCCCAGCTCTCTGGCCTCTCAACAGCGCGCTCCTCCGCCCTCAAGGTGCTGAAGCTGGTGAACCAGGTACTGGACCTGTCCAAGCTGCATTCACCACCTTCCCTCTCCCCTGCACCCCGCCCCGTCCCAGGCATGGTCGACGTGCTATCGGACTCGCCTCTGACCCAGCCCCAGCTCTCAGACTTGAGCACAGCGCGCTCCTCCGCCCTCAAGGTGCTGAAGCTGGTGAACCAGGTACTGGACCTGCTGATACTCAAGTCAACCCCTTTTCCTTTCCCCCTTCCTCCTTCCCTTGTTGCGGTCTACCAGGCATGCTGGACGTGCTATCTGACTCTCATCTCTCTAAAAGTCAGCACTCTGACTTGAGCACGGCACGTTCATCCGCCCTGAAGGTGCTGAAGCTGGTGAATCAGGTGCTGGACCTGTCCAAGCTCGAGGTGGGCCGAATGCAGCTGGAGAGCGGCGGGTTCGACGTGCACGCGTGGGTGGAGGGGGAGGTGCGCCGGCGATGGGGCGAGGCCAGGGAGAGAAACGTGCACTGTAAGACCGTTGACCGCTCTCGACTGCTCCCTTGCCCTCCGTTGGATCCTTAATTTGTTGTTGAGTCGACTCAAAAAGTGATGTGTGCGCGTGGCTGGAGGGCGAACGAGGCGCGTACTGTGCAGGCGATGGGGCGAGGCGAGGGAGAGGAATGTGCCTGTGCGCACTGCATGGTAAGGATGGGCCGATTGCCTGGTTCCGTTTCTGCCTTTCCCGGTTGTTCCTTTTGTAATGAGTCGATTTTTGAGTCGAATCAAAAATCGACTCATTACACATGGGGCGAGGCAAGGGAGAGGAATGTGCCTGCGCGCACTGCATGGTAAGGATTGGCCGATTGCCTGGTTCCGTTTCTGCCTTTCCCCGTTGTTCCTTTTTCCTCATCTTCTTCCCGTCTTTCTTCAACTTCCCTGGTTTTGTTCTGATTGACGATACTGTTGTCGGCATGCCATGGGTTGTGCATCCATGATTGTGTGCATCTATTGCACGTGTGCTTGCAACCATGTGCGCACGCATTCATGCATGCATGTGTGTATGTGTGTATGTGTGCAGTGGCAGCAGTGGTGGATCCCAGTGTGCCGCCACAGCTGGTGGGAGACCAGTTACGACTCGCTCAGGCACTCTCGCAAGTCATGGGTGAGTCCCTGGGCTGTTCAGTCACAGGTCTTCCCTTCTAAAGCATGCATGCACGCAAACATGCATGCATGGAAGCATGCACTCATGGGAGCATGCACTCATGGAAGCATGCACTCATGGGAGCATGGGTTGTGCTAGCAACCCCCTCTCCACGGTGTCTAGGGAAGTGGTGGGTCCCACCTGCTACATGTTTGTCCGATTCAGGCCCATTGTGCTGCCGTCCCACCCGCTTAGATGTTGGCATCCTGGTGTGTCACCGTGCTTGACTTGAAACAAGGCACCATTGGCATTCAGATGTTCCGATCCGACCACAGCCATCGCCTCTTTCTCTCTATCTACACCTCTTTGCTGATGTTCCAGCCTGCAGGCCTGTCAGAACGACGACTGAAACATTGTATACTGGAGTGCGTGCAAAAACATCCGGCCCACGACACTCCAGTAGCTTTTTCTACAGAGGCGTATACTGGGGTTCTTTGCACGCACTTCGGTATGCAGTGCTCTACTCGCCATTCTGACAGCCTTTGCAAGCTGCAACAACAGGAAAGGAGGGGAGACAAAAAGAGCGGTGAAGGGTGTGGTCGAAGATGTGGATGCGAATGATGCCTCGTTGCATCCTGACCGCTGTGACGCATTATGATGGCCGGACATGGGGGGTTACTTTTGAGTTTTGAGGCGCCTCAAAACTAATTTTGAGGCGCCTCAAAACTGGACATGGGGGGAAGCTTTTGAGTCGGCTCAAAAGCCACCTCTTTTGAGTCGACCCAAAAGTCAATGGTGCTACGTTGTGTGCTGATCACGGTGATGCATCATGATGATAGTACATGGGGGGGGGGGGGGGGGGGGATGCAGCGCAGTGTACTTAAATCGGTCGGACAATTACCCGCGTGCTGCTCTCATCACCACTTTTGAGGCGCCTCAAAAGACAGTTACCCGTGTGCTGCTCTCATCACCACTTTTGAGGCGCCTCAAAAGACAGTTACCCGCGTGCTGCTCTCATCACCACTTTTGAGGCGCCTCAAAAGACAATTACCTGCGTGCTGCTCTCATCACCACTTTTGAGGCGCCTCAAAAGACAGTTACCCGCGTGCTGCTCTCATCACCACTTTTGAGGCGCCTCAAAAGACAATTACCCGCGTGCTGCTCTCATCACCACTTCCCCTCTCGAGTGACCTACCCGCCCATATGAGTCGAACTCTTGATTTCGAGGCAACAATGGACTTGCTGTAATTAGAATCTTTCCATTTCTCTTCTGCCCCCTCCTAACCTCGACGCCCTTTCCACCCTCTCCATCTTCTCCGTGTCAGACTATGCCTTGTCATTCACACCCCATGGGGGCTACGTGCTGGTTCGTGTAACTGTGGCCGATTCTATCGTCCCTATGACTCAGCTTGCCCAGTTAAATGGTGAGTGGCTTTTGGCAAATCTCAACAATCATCCATCCGCTCATCACGTCTTGCGGCACAGCAGAATGCGGATTTTCGCCCATTCCGAAAGTCAATTGCGTGTAACTGTGTCTCATGCCAGTGTAACCTTAACTCAACCTTGTCAGTTGAACGGTGAGGTCGTTTTTCCCTCCCTTTTTCTTGTGACCGTCTGTTCTCTCGCCTGTCCTCCCCATCCTCCTGTTTCCAATCTGACCAACCCCTCACTCCAGATTTTGAGCCGCCTCAAAACCATCTGCTCTTCTCCCCTTCTTCCCATCCTCCTCGCCCCCTTCCACCCATCCTCCTCGCCCCCTTGTGTCTAACCCTCTCTGCAGAGACCTGTGCTGCAGCTTGCAGCACTAGGGTAATAACACTGATCGACCCTTATAGCGCGACGAAAACCGGGGATGATGACACGGCAGCAGCAACAGCAGCAGCAGCAGCTTGTGTTGCTGATAGTTCTGGGCTGCGCAGTGACCGACAGTGCTATTGGCATGCATCCAATGTTCAAAGTTCTGGCGGTTGCATGGGCAGCCATGGTTTCTGCAAAGGTGGTAACCGTCCTGTCAGTGTGGCTGGCAACCGTGCTGTGAACATGCGTGGTAACCGTGCGTGCAAAGGGGAGAAGGGAGCAGCAGCAGCAGCAGCAGCAGCAGCAGCATCAGGCCAGATGCAGCTGGTGATAACGTGTGAGCATAGCGGGTGTGACAACAGCGAGACCATGAATGCATTCATGTTTCGATTTGAGGTGAGTACTGACTATGGGAGGGAAGACGGAGGTGGCAGGTTTGACGGCATGGCACAGTGGATCTGGCAATAGGGAACCTCAGAAAGAAAGGAAATTCTAGTTTTTCTAGGTACAGTAACGCGGGCTTAGCATAACGTCGTTATGAGTGATTTACGCATTGACAGTTTGGTGTGTGGTGTAACATGTGTTTTGTGTCCGTGTTTGCATGCATGGGTTCACAGGAGATGCGGAGCTTGCAGGAGGGAGCCGAGGAAGCTGCTGCGAAGCTCAGCCTTGTGCTGGCCAAACAACTGGTGAGGAGGGTTTCGGGTCTCCCTTTGGTTGTAGTCTCGTTCTATGGAATCCTCAACTACGACCCACTGCTGAAGAGGATCATCTCCCTTCAGTGGGACTTTCGGCTTTTAGGGTTTGCGCTCGTTTGTAGGTTTCGTTGTTTTTTTGCTTTCTTTGTTTTTCCTCCAGGAGACGTACCATGCACCACTCTACTGCTAATGCAGGTGTGTTCTGGCTCGGGCATTCCTCTCCTGTGTTTTTTACTGCAGGTGACTCTAATGAAGGGTGACATCAGCTGCAAGGTCGATCCTGCTACAGGAACAGCATTCACCCTCGCGATACCTGTGCTCTCTGCCCCGCCGCTACCCCAGACAACCCTTCCCCAGTCAACCATTCCCCAGATAACCCTTCCTCAGACAAACCTTCCCCAGACGAATTTGCCTGTTGCCAAGACCGTTTTTCCCCCTGCTGCTCCTGCTGCGGCTGTAGCTGGAGAGGCGGGTGTGCCTACAGATGTACATATGGAGGGCGACAGTACAGCGCACATGCATGGCGATGGTGCTGTAGATACGGCTGGCAACGGTGCAGCACACATGAGAGGCGTGGGAATCTATGGTGGGGACATGCCGCACAACTCCAGTGGATGCCTGGGCGTGGATGCCTCAGGTCGTTCTGGTTTTGCGGTGCTGGTGGTGCTGGTGGTGCTGGTGGATCGTCACAAGGAAAGGGCAAAGGTAACTAAACTCTTGAATGAACCCACTTTACCGTGGCTTTTGAGTCGATCGACTCAAACGCACAGAAGTGTGGACAATGAGTTGAGTTGGTTTGATAGAATTCTGTTGATTTCTTAGATTCTTTGTTTCTATTCTTTTGCAGAATTCTCAAGAACCAGCTTCTCACGCGGAGCAGAGAGCGAGCAGACGAGCATGCAGCAGTTTGGTCCATAGCTAGGCAGACTTTCCGTTTGGTCCATAGCTAGGCAGACTTTCCGTTTGGTCCATAGCTAGGCAGACTTTCCGTTTGGTCCATAGCTAGGCAGACTTTCCGTTTGGTCCATTGCTAGGCAGACTTTCCGTTTGGTCCATAGCTAGGCAGACTTTCCGTTTGGTCCATAGCTAGGCAGACTTTCCGTTTGGTCCATAGCTAGGCAGACTTTCCGTTTGGTCCATAGCTAGGCAGACTTTCCATTTGGTCCATAGCTAGGCAGACTTTCCGTTTGGTCCATAGCTAGGCAGACTTTCCGTTTGGTCCATAGCTAGGCTGACTTTCCGTTTGGTCCATAGCTAGGCTGACTTTCCGTTTGGTCCATAGCTAGGCTGACTTTCCGTTATCCTCTCCTCTCCCTTGTGAGAGATTTTTTAGAATTCTCGAAAATATTTTCCTTATCCTCTCCTCTCCCTTGTGGGTTGACTCCCTGCCCCCAGCTAACCGCTCGTGTGCTGGCTCACCTAGGAGCATCACTGCTTCTGACACCCGACACGCATGCAGCAGTTAGATTCATACCTACGCTAAGCTTCTGATACCCGACACATGACACCTACGCTAACCTTATCCTTTCTTCTTTCTTGTATGTTTGACTCCCTGCCCCCAGCTAACCGCCCGTGTGCTGGCTCACCTAGGGGCGTCAGTTCTGCTGGCTTCTGATGAGCACGCTGCAGCTAGGCTCATAGCTGATCCTCACGCCTTCCACCAGCAATCGAATCATTTCAGCTCCCACCAGCACTTAGCTAAGTTCTGTGGGAAGCCGCTGGTGGTGGTAGTGAGTGGGGAAGCTGGTCTGAGGCGGTTCAGGCAGGCCTGTGATCGGTTAGGGGAACAGCAGCAGCAGCAGCAGCAGCAGCAGCAGCACCACCACCACCACCACCACCACCACCACCACCACCAGCATCAACAGCAGCGGCAGCAGCAAATGGGGAAGCTTCTACCCCTGTCTGGCTGTGTTGTGCTTGTAGAGAGGCGTGACAGTACAGAAGGGGCAATGGAGCAGGTTGCAGAGAGTTCAGACAGGGACGAGATTGAAGCAGACAGTTTGCACTCTTCAGCCGAGTCTGCAACTCCGGACAAGTCTTCCCAGGCACCACTAGAATCTCACCCTCTTCCGTGTGAACCACGGGTACTTGAGGCTGGTGCGGTGCATGGCGCTAGCACCTTTGGAGGGGTTCCAGTGGTGCTGTGCCAACTGCCCCTCTTCTCCCACCGCCTACTCGCTGCTGTTCAGGTACGTTGCCAGGTGGCATCGGGGTGTGCTGGCAGGTGGAATACGGGTGTGCTGCCAGGTGGCATTCGGTGTCATCTCCCTCTCACTTTCCCTCCTGTGCTAGAAACAGGTGGGCGGGGCAGACTGAGAAGTAACAGAGAGTGGCTATCCTGCGCCTGCACTGTGCCCACCTGTTGCTAGCTTCATCCCCATCCTCCTCTCCCTTTCCCTCCTGTCTCCCCATCCCCCTCACTGCTCTCTCTTCCAGGCTCTTTCCATGCCCTTGCTCCACCCGTCTGACGTAGCAGCAGTAGCACAGCCAGCAGTTGCTGCTTCTTCACCGACAAATCTGCCTGCTACAGCTGCTACAGCTGCTGCAGCTGCTACATCTACCAATGCTTCTCTTGCTACAGATTCATTGGCTGTTGCTCCCACCAGTGCCACCAGTGACAGTTTAGGAAAGAGGATGTCACTAGTTGAGGGCAGGGGGAGGGGCGAAGGGGGAGAAGGAGTAGCAGCTGCAGTAGGGAAAGCAGGGGGGGGAGGAGGAGCAGAAGCACCAGGAGGAGAAGGGAGAGATGTTCTAAATGGACTGAGAATTTTGGTACAGTCTTTCCCTTCACATAGCTGCTTTCACCCCTGTTCTATCCCACCTCTGTCCTGCTCTCATCTGCCCTGCTCTCATCCGCCCTGCTCTCATCTGCCCTGCTCTCATCTGCCCTGCTCTCATCTGCCCTGCTCTCATCTGCCCTGCTCTCATCTGCCCTGCTCTCATCTGCCCTGCTCTCATCTGCCCTGCTCTCATCTGCCCTGCTCTCATCTTCCCTGCTCTCATCTGCCCTGCTCTCATCTGCCCTGCTCTCATCTTCCCTGCTCTCATCGGCCCTGCTTTCATCTGCCCTGCTCTCATCTTCCCTGCTCTCATCTGCCCTGCTTTGTGAAGGTGCTGCACCCCATCGCCTGTCTCCTCAACCCTTTCTCATCCCCCATGCCCCGACCCCCCTTTCGGTCCCAGGTGGTGGGCAACACGGGTGTGAACCTGGTGGTGGCAACTCACTCCTTACCTAATTTTTAAAACTAACCCCCCCCCCAACATCTCTCCCCCCCTCCCCCCCCCCCGCCACCCTGCTGCTCCCAGGTGGTGGACGACACGGGTGTGAACCTGGTGGTGGCCCGCCGCACTCTGAGTCGATGCGGCGCCGCTGTGGCCACGGCAGGCAGCGGGGTGGACGCAGTGAGGCGGGTGAAGGAGGCTCTGGCTGTTGACAAGGGTGCTGCTGCTGAAACTGATGAGAGCAAGGCGTTGGATGTGGTGCTGATGGACCTGCAGATGCCAGGCATGGATGGGTGAGTCCTTTGTGCGGGTGTAACAAAACCCTCTCCCCTGTTTTGTAATACCATTCAATTATAATTTTGCGTCTTTCATACGTGCAGGTTCGCATCAACCAAGGCAATCCGACAAATGGAAGCAGAAGCAGCAGCAGCAGCAGCAGAGAGCGCAGCAGGGAGCACCGCAGAGATAGCAGAACAGCAGAGCCAGGTTGGTGTGGGTAGCCATGCAGGACGAGACTCAGGAGAAGATTATAGAGGTGGTTGTACGTCTGATTCAAGGCCAGGTTCAACAGCAGTTGATTCTACAGCAAGGTCCCGATGCATAGATGTCGGTTCCAGCAACCACACTCTGGTTGCCAGTACCGCTAAAAGCATTGGAGGCGCACATGTCAACAGCACGAGGCCATTGGTTATCATTGCGCTGACTGCTGACGTGGATGCAGAGGTCACTCGGCAGTGCCTTGCTGGTGGCTTCCATGGCATCCTGCAGAAGCCCATCCAGCCCTCTGCTCTCCGCATGCTGCTGCAACCGCTGGTTGGTCATTGATGCTGTTACCAGCAACAACAATGTGGTTACTGGTGTCAACATATAATTTGTACATGTTACAGGCTAGTTAGGTGCATGCTCATATAGAGTATTACCCCTTAGGTTATATCCCCTTGTACCACCTCATTCTAATCATTCGTTTCTATGCTAAGATGGTATCAGATTAGGTTAGGTCCTCCCACCCGCTTCCGCCCTAGCCCCTAGCGCCCTGCTGGCCCCTTAGAGCCTTGCTGGCCCCTTAGCGCCCTGCTGGCCCCTCAGCGCCCTGCTAGCCCCGTACACCCCGCTGGCCCCGTTTGCGCCCCGCTGGCCCCTTAGCGCCTCGCTGGCACCTTAGCGCCCTGCTGGCCCCGTACACCCCGCTGGCCCCGTTCGCGCCCCGCTGGCCCTGTGCGCCCCGCTGGCCCCGTATGCCCCGCTGGCCCCATTCGCGCCCCGCTGGCCCTGTCGAGCCTCGCTAGCCCTGTGCGCCCCGCTGGCCCCGTTCGCGCCCCGCTGGCACCGTCGAACCCCGCTAGCCCCGTGCACCCCGCTGGCCCCGTTCGCGTCCCGCTGGCCCCGTCGAGCCCCGCTAGCCCCGTGCGCCCTGCTGGCCCCGTACGCCCCGCTGGCCCCGTCGAGCCCCGCTAGCCCCATGCGCCCCGCTGGCCCCGTACGCCCCGCTGGCCCCGTTCACTCCTTGCTGGCCTCGTCGAGCCCTGCTCGCCCTGTGCGCCCCACTGGTCCCTTACGCCCCGCTGGCCCCGTTCGCGCCCCGCTAGCCCCGTGCGCCACGCTATCCCTAGCCCGCCGGCCCTAGCTCGCCAGCCCCACCTCGCCGACTATCGCTCGTAGGCCCTAGCTCGCCGGCCTCTGCTCCCTCGCCGCCCCTAACGCAGCCGGCTCCCGTTCATGCCGGCCCCAGCTTCCTGCGGCGCCGCCGTGCCGCAGTATGGCTGTGCCGCTGTGCTGCCGTGCTGCCGTCCTGCCGTCCTGCCGTGGAGCCGTACCGCTGTGCTGCAGTGCCGCGGTGTCGCCGTGCGCCGTGCCGCCATGTCCCCATGCCGCCGTGTCGCCGTGTCGCGGTGCGTCGTGCCGCCGTCCTGCCGTGGAGCCGTGCCACCGTGTCGCCGTGCTGCCGTGTAGCTGAGACCGTGCGATGGCAGACGCTGTGCTCCGCCTAGACGCGGAGGGGCGGGCGATCGATTTCGCTGCGTGGCTTGTCGACCTTCGCCGTCACCTGACAGGTCAGCGCCAGGACGGTTACTCACTGGCTGTGCATGTCGATGGTTTGCTTCCCCGCCCCCCCGTCCCTACTGCCCTCCCTGATGCCCCCACCACTGCTGAGCGTGAGTTCTTTTCTGCTGCTGCGCTTGCTCGCGCTGTCTAGGAGTCGTGCGATGCCGTAACACAGCTTGCCATTAGTCACGCCATCCCTTTGTCTGAGCGTCCCCGCTTTACCACAGTAGCGAACGCCAAGGAATTCTTAGATGCAGTCACTGCGCGCTACTCTACGCCCGCCTCAGCCTCAGCTGGCCGCCTCCTCCCCATGCTGTTCCCTGATCTTGCGGCTTTCCCCACTTTCGCTAACCTAGCCACTCAATTCCGAGCACTTGAGGCTAGCTACCGCGCCACTAGCACTGAGGCCCAGCTCACTACCTTCCCCCCGCCGCTTTGCGCTACCAAAGCCTCATCGCCACGCGCCTCCCGAACCACCTAGCCACTGCCTGCGGCCACTTCCTTAGTCAGCACCCAGATGACCTCACCCTTATCACCTTTGTCACTGCCCTATCTGAGATAGAGACCCACCAGCGCACTATCGCTAAGTCTAGCAGTACTGCAGCGGTCCCTATCTTTCAGGGATGTGCTCCCTCCCAGTGTACTTACTTTGACATCTCTGCTGCTATCGCTGAGACAATCCTTGCTGCTGAGACCGCTGTTGCGGCCTCAACGTAGCCGCGTCAAGGTAGGGGCCGCCGCCCCAAGGTGGGGCGTGGCAGGGGGAAGGGTGGTGGGGGTGGTGGGGGCGGGGGCAGGGACGCTGGTTCCGATGAGGGGACTGGGTCTGGTGCCCCGGAGAAGAAGCAGCCTCAGCAGCAGCACTGGGGCTGCCTCCCATTGGGGTGGCCCGATGCTTTTGGTGGTGGTGGCCGCGGTGGCGGCCCTCGCAGCTCGGTGTCGGGTGGCAGCTTCGGCACTGTGGCTTACCACTACCAGCTCCTGACCGGCCCCTTCTACGGCACTGTGTGTGGTCGTAACAGTCACACTGCCACCCGCTGCTTCCGCCGCCTCGATGATCTCATCCGTCTCTGCTTCAGCCCTGCGACGGACCTTCCCGACGGGCTTATTCTGGTGCGTCGCCATGTGCCTATCTTTGAGATGGATTTGGATCAGCTTGCTCTGCATTGCATGCCATGTATGCTGATGACTCTAGTGTGACCGGACCTTATTACCCTGTGTTGCCTAGTGTAGATGTGCCTCATGTGTGTAGTCTAGGGTCCCCTGCTATGTCAGGCGTAGGACCTTTTGCCTTGTTCAGCCTAGGCTCCACGCTAGCCCGTCCGCCGACTGCCGCTACTGCTTCGCTTTCGTTCATGCTTAACTCTGGTGCGTCTGCCTGCTTCTTCCGCGACCACACTCCGCTCACGCCGCGTGCCGCCCCTACCGTAGTCGCGCTTGCTGACCCCTCCTCCGTTCCAGTAGTTGCCCGTAGCTCCACTACCCTTCACTGTCCGGCGGTTTCCTCGGGCTCCCTTACAGGCCTGCACATCCCCTCAATCTCCTGGAACCTAGTTTATGTCGGCTGTCTTTCGGATCTCAGCGTCACCACTACGTTCCCTGGCCACGAGTGCTACGAGGTATGTACCGAGGCCGCCATAGGTTCCCCCCTCACCACGTTCCCCCGGGACCCGGTGTCTGGCCTATTTACGCTGGACACCAAGTCCCCCGTGGTGAGGGCGTCCCCCCAGGTGCCTGCGTCTACCCAGGTCGTTGCAGCTTGCTCGTGTCGGTCGCTCACTCACCCGTCACTTCTGTACCACCACCACCTAGGTCAGCCCGCACTTACATGTCTCTGCACGCTCTTGTCCTTTGTCTCCCTGCATCGCTCCCTGCCCTCCCTCCCTTTCCTGCGCCGTGCACGCCCTGCGTCGAGTGCCGGCTATGCCATGCTTTTCACTCCTCCTCGCTTTGCCCTGCCACCACGCCACTCCAAACCCTGCACCTGGACGTCTGCGGCCCAGCCCCCGTCCCTGGGCCACTTTGAGAGCGCTACATTCTCATGCTTATCGACGATTACACGCGCTACACCACGGTGGTTCCTCTTAGGCGGAAGGTCGATGTGCCTGACGTTCTTATCCCGTGGGTCTTAGCTGTGTATGTACACAGCAGTCTCCCCGTGTTGTGTCTCCACTCCGACCGTGGCGGCGAGTTTGCCTCCGGTGGGCTTTGACAGTTATGTCGTGCGGAGGGCATCACCCAGTCGTACACCCTGCCGGACTCCCCGCAGCAGAAAGGGGTCACCTAGCAACGCATCAGTTTGGTCATGGAGGTGGCTCGTACCTCCATGATCTATGTTGGTGCACCCCATTTTCTGTGGCCGTTTGTTGTTCGCTACGCTGCGCACCAGCTTAACCTGTGGCCGCGCTCCCAGCGGCTGCAGGTTTTGCCGACCCTTCTTTGGACCGGGTTCTCTGGTGACGTGTCCGCGTTCCACGTTTGGGGCTGCCTTGCTCACGTTCGTGCCTCTGGCATGGACAAGCTCATTGCCTACATTGTCCCTTGTGTCTTCCTTGGCTTTCCTCTTGACTCGTCTGACTGACACTTTTACCACCCGACGTCTCACTGCTCCTTTCACTCTCGTAACGTCACAATCAACGAATCTGTCTCCTTCTACCACCTCTTTCCCCACCGAGGTCTCCCGGTTTTCCCGCCCCTGTTTCTGGTTCGCACTCCCAGGTAGCCCCTGCTCCCCTCCCTCCCCGTCCTGCTCCGTCTGGTGTGTCTCATGTCACTCCCCTCCCGTCGGTTGTCCCGGTGGAGGAGTTGGCTGACTCTGGTGGCCCCGCGGCGTAGTTCTCGCCGCCTGTTTCTTCCTCGGTGTCTCCTCTTCCACTGTCGTGGCTCGTCCCAGCGGTCCAGGGGGTGGCACCGGTGCTGGAGAGGGTTCTCGTCCTGGGGGTGCTATTTCTGGGGGTGCTAGTCCTAGGGTTACTGTCGTGGCTTGTGTTGGCGATCTCGGAGATGGCACCGCTACTGGTGAGGGTTCTCATTCTGGAGGTGCTAGAGTGGAGCATTTCGGAGGTAGCCGTGGTGCAGTTGGAGGTTCTGGTGTCGGCATGGAGCAGCAGCAGCAACAGTCGCCGACGATGTCCGCCCTTCACCTGCTCGGCCTTCCCTCCCCTGACCACCCACCTGCGGCTCCTCCGCCGCTGCCTCCCCTGCCTGTCTACGGCCCTGCGTTTCCTCCGCCAGACTCGTCTGACTCGTTTCCCTCCTCGTTCTCCTCCTGTGACTCCCCCTGTCTCTCCTAACCCGACGCCTGCGTCCCACTTCTGGCCTCGTCGTCCCTCTCGTGCTCGTCCCGTCTCTCCTGTCCAGCGCTCTCACCCGATGTTGCTTCATTCCCACGCGTCTCGTCCTCCTCTCCTCCCCTCGCCTCCTCCGTCGTTTCTTGTTGTCTCTCCGCCGCCTCTGTCCGACTACCTTCGTGCCGCTAGTCCTCGTGTTCCTTGGGTCCTTGTCTCCCTCGTTACCGACTCGTCTGTTCCTGTCTCGAATCTTGACGCCCTTGTCACTGTTGTCGCTGACTTCGCCTCTACCCACTACCTTCAATACGCTATAGCTCTGGCTTCTGACCCTGTCCATCCTCCGTCCGTCGGGGGTGCTCCTGCCCTTGGCAATGACGTCCTGGAGGATCGGCAGTACGAGCTACATTTCTGTCCGAGGCCGCGCCTCATCTCTGTTCCATGCTGCTAGTCCCTGAGGGGGACCCAGAAGCCTTCGACATCCCGACCCCTTACACCTACGCTGAGGGGACCTCGGGACCGTGGGCCTCCCATTGGATAGCTGCCATTGACGCAAGATGTCAGCTTGGAGATCCACTGAGACTTGCGTCGACATAGTTCCCCCACCTTGGGTGAACGTAGTCGATGGTCGGTGGCTCTTCAAGGTGAAGCGCCCTTCTGGAGAGCCGTCTCTGTTCAATGCGCGCTACGTAGGTAGATGCGTTAGTCAGTGTGAGGATGTGGACTTCTTCCAGACCTTTGCCCCGACCCCGAAGATGACTACACTTCGGGCGCTGCTACATGTACAGTAGCAGCACAGCGTGGCTACGAGCTGTCCTCTCTCGACTTCTCGACAGTTTTTCTTCAGGGTAGTTTGCACGAGCAGGTCTACCTGCGCCGTCCGCCAGGCTTAACCAGCACCTTCGCCCCGGGGACCCAGTGGCTCCTCCGGCAGCCAGTTTACGGCCTGCGGCAGGCGCTTCGTGAGTGGCACGAAACGTTGCATGCTACGTTAGCTGACCTGCAGTTCTTCCCGTTGTCTGCAGACCCTTCACTTTTCTTTCGTGCTGGTCAGATCCCGTTCTATATCCTAGTCTACGTAGACGATCTGGTCTTTGCTACTACAGATAGAGATGCATTGGCTTCCGTGAAGGCAGAGCTGCTGAGGAGACACACCTGCACTGACCTAGGAAAGCTGTGTCGGTACCTTGGCCTGTAGATCTCCAGGGACAGAGCAGCACGCACCATCACTCTCACACAGTCCCACTTGGTGCGCCAGGTCCTTCAGAGGTTCGGCCTTCAGTTTTTTTCCACACAGCCCACACATCTGCCAGTAGATCACATGCTCTCGGCTCCAGTCCGTGAGGAGTCTGAAGAGCCTAATCTACCCCAAAGGTTATATCCCCATGTACCACCTTATTCTAATAATTCATTTCTACGCTAAGAACCGGTACTACAGGCATCCAAGGCATGCACATGAAAAGCAAGAGTCTCGTGCTTATTGTTTTGCTAACTTCTGGTGTGGACGAAGAGGTCAATGGTTGGCAGTGCCTTGCTAGTAAGTTCCATGGCATCCTACAGAAGCCCATCCTGCTCTCTGCCCTGGGTATGTTATTGCAGCAGCTAGTTGCTCATTGATGTCAACTGTGTTAAGAGCCCGATGCAGTGTCAGAAGCTCATGTCGTCAAAGGATGCTGCGAAGGCATGTGATGAAATACATGCGAGTGGCATTCGTAGCCTTTTCACATCATTAGTTACAACGCGCCCTTGCAATGTCTATTCAAGATCTGCTTTTCTCACAACGAAGCCCATGGTGCCAGAAGGGTGTTCATTCAGCATCATCACGGGGCAGTTGTTACAGGATCAAGGGGAATGTTCTCTTTCCTTGTCATAGGCCGGAAACACGTCAGCTTCCGCAATCGCCACGAAGGAGCGGGCACTTTCCGGGTGGATGTGCGGTTTGTCGACGCGGCAAAGTTCTGTGCCTGGGCCCCAGGCATTGTGGCGAAAGCGAAACTCGCCGATCTGTGCAACGCGATTCGTTTCAAGCCTATTCGCGAAATCCGCGAGCACGACACATCATCCAACGGGAAACTTGAAAACCTTTTGGTTACGCGGGCTTTCCTCTCCCCTCCCTTCCCCTCCGCTCACCATCTCTTCCGCCCATCGCATGCCCTCCCCGCCACCCCACCACTTCCCCCGCCCCCCACCCCCATCTACCATCCATCCATTCAGGCAATGCCGCACACCCAAATTCCTCCGAACCCCAACAGATAGAATTTGGTCAAGCTTGACACAATCCCCCGTTTGAAAGCACGCCAGACACAGCTGAACGAAGTTGTTGCAGGAAACTAGCCAGCTGTTTCAACCCGCCCGCATCCTGTAAATCAGTTTCCTTATGGCGGTGTCCGTCTCAACCTCAGCTTCTTCCGTCGCATTGACTCGTTCAGCGTCCGCATCCTCCGCGACTTCTTGCCTTTTGAATTCAAGTCCCGTTTCCATAATGGCAACCCTGCATCATCCCGGCCGGCTCGTCCCTCTGCACTCCTGGCGAAATGTTAATCTCAAGTCGTCTTCTTCCACTTTTCGCGCGTGTAAGTATTCCAAGTCAGCATTCCCAACCGTCGCTGCTGTAACGGCCGTTCCTTCGACTCCGCCTCCCTCCGCGTCCGATCTCGGCTCCGCCAACCAATCCCTGTTCTCCACGTTGCAATTCCAGCAGCAGCATCAGCACGAATCCGCTACACCCACCACCCACCTCCACGAGCCGCCATCTCCAACGGATCTCTTCCACCAGGATCCCCAACATTGGCGGGAAATCATGCTGCGAGAGAGGCACCACGAGGACGAGCTGTCGATCGTCTTGGGATTGGATTTCGGCGGGACGGGGATCAAGGGAGCGCCGGTGGACGTAGCGACGGGCACGCTGCTGCTCGAGCGGTACCGCATTCCCACCCCCAATCCCGCCACGCCTCAGGCCGTCGCTGGCGTCATCCGGCAAATTAAAGAGCACTTCCGGGTGAGTTCTACGCTTCTTGTCCGGTACCTACCGGCTAACTCAGGGCTCTTGGGGATCTTCGGCTCCCATTTCTCCTCTTGCTGTCGTCTTTTTTCGCCATTCATTTCAATTGGTCCCTTCATTGCTTCCAGATATTTCCCTAAGTTCTCATTCTCCCTCGTGATTTCCCTGTCAAAACCCACCTCTCTCTCCTGTCCCATGGTGCCATGTTTCTCTGACAGTGGGATGGGCCTATCGGCATTGGCGTTCCGTCTGTCGTCCGACGTGGCATTGTCCGCAGTGCAGCCAATAGTGAGTACAGCGAATAGTGAGTTCATTGCTGCTGGCATTGCTGCTCGGACAGGTTGAACTATTGGCTGACGAACTCTCCGAACTTCAAATAATTGGTCAAATTCAATCATCTTGGGTGAAGGCAATGAAACAGCAGAAACAGAGGAATCCCTAAAAAAACGCTCTGTAACGAGACCACGGATCCATACCCGCCCTAACCCCCTCTTCTTCCCCCATTTCCATCCCCCACCACACCCTAAACTACCCTCCTCCCCACATGGTGACCCCAGTCGACAAGTCCTGGATCAACATTAACGCCGTCGATCTCGTCCAACGCGCCACAGGCTGCGACGTGGCAGCAATCAACGATGCGGACGCAGCAGGGTTCGCCGAGATGAGGTTCGGCGCCGGCCGAGCCTTGCAGCGGGAAGGCACGGTCCTGATGACCACGTTCGGCACAGGGATAGGCACGGCACTGTTCGTGGGCGGGCATCTGGTGCCGAACCTAGAGATGGGGCACATTGAGGTGAACGGGGAAATTGCTGAGAAGGTGGCGTCGGGAGCAGTCAAGGAGAAGACGGATATGAGCTGGAAGAAGTGGGCCGGGCGGGTGAACGATTACCTGGCGCGCATGGAGCATTACCTTCAGCCGGATCTAATAGTAAGTATAGCCGTATGATGCTTACTGAAGTCTACTTCTCTTCTCGTTTTCTTGTGGTTAGGTCTGCTAAATGAAGGCTGGAAGATGGTGGGTGAGCTGAGATCCTAATGTGCTGTTGCGCTGTGTGGTGCTGTGTGGTGCTGTGTGCTTGCTTGCAGGTGATTGGTGGAGGCATCAGCAAGAAAGATGAGAAGGTGAGAGGGCTAAGGATGGCAAGCTGAGAGCAATATTCCATCCCTACAGTTTCGCCCTCCTTTTTTTCCCCTGCCTCATAACTCAGCTGGTCACACTCCCCTCCCATTCCACGGACCTGGATCTCCTGTCCCTTTCTAAAAGTCCTAGCATTGCTGCAGATGAGTTACTGTAAGCTGCAATTCTCCTCATCCCTATCCCCCTTGCTCTCCTCCCCCGTTTTAGCAGTTCCTCCGTCTGTCTACCCCAAAAGGGCGTGCCCACTGTAGCAGCTGACTTCCCCCTCTCCCCTTTTTCTTCTCTCCCCCCCCCGCTTTTATCCCCCTCCCATCCTCCCCCCCCCCTCCCCCCCTCTTCCCTGCAGTTCCTGCATCTGCTGTCAGTCCCAGGAGGCACACCCATTGTGGCAGCTGTGATGCGCAATGAGGCGGGCATAGTGGGGGCAGCAGTGGGAGGGTCGATTCTGCTGGGGGAGCAGAGAGCTGCGAGGGAAGCTGCTAGGATCACACCCACACTGCTAAGCTGATTGGAGCATGATGAGCTGAGATGAGCAACGAGGCGGGCATAGCGGGGGGGCGCAGTTGGTTCATCTGTTCCATTGGAACAGAGAGCGGCCAAAGATTGCATCCCAGACACACACCAACACTGCTGAGCTGATTGGGGGTTAGAAAGGACAGAATTCTAGCTCAGTTCAGTTCTGCACAAGATATGGGCCAGGCAAGGTGACAGTCGGGTTAACAAATGCTTACGAGCTGTTTGCAAGTAGTTTTTACGTTGTTGACACATATTGTTTCATTGGGTCGGAATAAATACGAAGTAAACACTCTGTCTGATCATGTCTACTCTTGGCTATCACCCATTTCAAGTCGTAGGGGTAGGTTCTTGCGCAGTGTCATACACATGACGTCCAGTGAACCGCCCATTTGTAAGAGGCCCCCATGCACTCGTCAGTCCGACTGGCACGGATTTACATGCAACGGTGTCGTGGCACTGGGATAGCCCTGTTGATCCTCTCTCTGTCTAAGGAGGGTACTCGGGAGGCTTTCCCCGGGGAAGGTGGATATATGGAGCCTATGTCGAAGTACCGTATTACCGTATTCCCCCGTATATAACACCCTAGGGTATTGTCAAAAATTCATTAAAAAAACGAAGGGGTGTTAACAGTAGGCTGGAAAAATATAACGCCCATGTCTTATGTATAATGCAAAATGAATTTGGGGCGTAACATGCAAAAATACATGCACAGTACAGGATGACACCTTAAGCGAGGTTTGGATGACGATTCCCAACCTCCACTCGGGCCAGCCTGGCGATAACGTCATGACGTGCTGCATTTGCAGCCAATCCGAGGAAGCCGGTCCTGCCAGCACAAGAGGAAAGCGGCCTCCTGGAAGTGACAAGATTTCATCGACGGCTGTGAATCCCGGGTTTTTACAACGTAACGAAAGTGCGCGACCAGATTCCTTTACGGAATCTTCTTGATGGGACCAGCATGCATGGTCCCATCGCTTCTTGCAGAGCCGTGCGCGCTTCGGTTAGGGGCGTCGGCCACGGTTCTTCTCCAACCTTCTCTTACCTCATTCTCATTCTTGCTCCTCGCTCCTCTCAGCCTCAATCAAATTCTTCGCAATGCCCGAGCTCTCTAACAGAGGCTCGGGCATTGCCCAATCTCGCCTATCTCGCTATCCCTTGTCGAAATTTTCCCCCATGGCCGCTCGAGCAATTAATGGTGTGTCACTTTTGCGAGCTCATCGCCCACCCTTCGGGAATCAGACGTTGCTCCGTCCTTTCCCACCAGATCCTTCGGCTCCTAGACATCCGCCTGCATCTCCCGCTCCTCCCGCTCCTCCGGCGCCACCGGCGCCACCAGCGCCCCCTGCACCTCCTGCTCCTCCTGCGCCCCCGGCTCCCCCTGCTCCGCCACCTCTCTCGTCGCCGGTGGTCACACGTCCTCCGGAGTGGGATAACGATTGGCAGGATGACGACGACCTGTTGTGGGAGGAGGATGAGGCTGACGACCGCGAGCCTGAACCTCCTCGCCCACTTCCTCGCGTTATCGTCCCTCGTTTCCCGCAAGCGCAACGCCGTCGTAATATGCCTCTTCGTAACCGTGATGCTGCACCTCCCTCCCCCAGGGCTCGCAGGACGAATCGCAAGCGACTCGCACGGACGGCAACCGAGAAGCTGTACTGGTTGGCGAAGTTGGAGGCGGAGCCGGAGATGTCGAACCGCTCCCTTGCTCGGATGGCTGGAGTGCAGCCGTGCCAGATTCGCGACTGGAGGAAGAACAAGGCACGACTCACTGCCTCGGCTGGCTGTAGGCGTCGCCTCATCGGCTCCGGTAGGAAGGCGAAGTACCCCACCATGGAGCGCGAGCTGTACAAGAAGTTCTTGGGCCAGCGCGCGCGAGGGCTGGCGGTCTCGATCGGCACGCTGCAGAAATGGAGTCGGAAGTACATGCGTAAGCACCACCCCGGCATCGACTGGCGCGCCTCGTCACGGTGGACCTTCCGGTTCCGCGCGCGCTGGGGACTGACGAAGCGCGTGAAGACGAAGATGGGACAGCGCATGACTGCAGGTACGCACTTTGACGTGCCGCGAATACTCCCTGCCCTCGTCTAGCTCTTGTCGTGCTTCCTTGTTTGGTGACCGCACTTATGCATTCTATGTTTTTGTTTTTTATTATTTTCATTGGCAGACTGTGACGCGAAAGTCGAGAAGTTCTGGGAGTTTGTTCGGCAGCTCCGCACGCTCAACGACTACCCCGACGATCTGATCATCAACGCGGATCAGACGCCACTATTCTTGGAGATGCCGCAGGAGACCACACTCGAAGTCCGGGGCTCGAGAACTGTCCATGTGCGCACGGCCGGCTACGAGAAGGAGAGGCTGACCGTCATGCTGGCCGTCACAGCAAGTGGCAAGAAATTGAAGCCGTACGTCATCTTCAAGCGGAAGACACTACCTCGGATCCGCGTCCCGCCCGGTAAGGATTTCGTGTCTTTTTTTGTGCCGCCACCGCTAATGTTTTTCGTAGCTGTCTTTCCAGGGCAAACTCATATGTCTCGTACTTTGCGCTTGTGCAGGAATTGTGATCAAGGCCCAGGAGAAAGGGTGGATGGACGAGACCCATGTCAAGGACTGGGTCACCACCGTCCTGGTGCCGTTTCTCCGCTCGATACCCTCGCGGCGCGGTGGCCGTCAGAAGGCTCTGGTGGTCCTCGATTCGTACAAGGGACACCTGACAGAGGGAGTGTCCCAGTTGATGCGACTCTTCAAGCTGTCGAGGGCTGTCATCCCCGGCGGTTGTACGCCTATCGTGCAGCCTCTAGACGTGGCGGTAAACCGGTGCGTCAAGGCGCATGTCCGGAGGTCCTACAGTGAGTGGTTCGAAGAATTCGGCTGCGAGTCCACAACCCCTGCAGGTGAGTAACCGTCTTTATTATTTGTCCTTAAAACCTCTACCCGCGTTGTGATTTTTTAAACCATGCCTTGCATTTCTCCACCACTACTCCTAAACCCCCCTCCTACTGTCTCGTCGTTTTGCTTTCCCCTGCAGGGAATCTTCGCAAGCCGCCAGCCGAGCTCGTGCTGCAGTGGATTGCCGACGCCTGGGCCGCGGTGCCAGCTGAACTCATCCGCCGCGCGTTCAAGACGTGCGGCATTTCCAACGCGACCGACGGCGCAGAGGACGAGGTGATCCTCGCCCACATGCGGGACGACGCCGAGGTCGAAGTCATGGAAGATGTCCATGCCGAAATGGAAGAGAGTGGGGCGCTGAACCCATACTACGAGTCGGAATATGTGGAGCCGAGCGCCACGCCGAGCTCGGAGGAAGACGATCCCGATGTCGAGGCGGAGATTGAACCTGCAGCAAGTGCCTCATCATCCGGTGCATCTGGAGCTGCAACACCCGCGCCAGCATCAGAGGCGTCTGGGAATCCAGGAGCCCGCACAGCAGCAGCAGCAGCAACAACCTATACAGAAGCAGCGACAGAGGTGGGGATATCAGCTGCCGAAGGCGACGAAGGTCTAGACATGCCTGCGGCGGAGGTTCTGGCGGGCTTGGCTGCATCCCGCTGGACTGATGACTTTGACTGGGATGACATCGCCAGTGACGATGAAGATGCCGAGGTGTGGCATGCAGGAGAGGACTGGCACAGTGAGGACGAAGACAGAGACTAACTATTGACTTACCCTGCTAGGACATGTAGCTAGCTGTTGGACTATCAGTGTGTGCTGAGTGAATGGTAGTAATAGCTAGCTTAGGTAATAAAAAATGCACTAGAAATGCCTCGCACAACGGATAGGCTTTAGACTAGTGTTAAAACTGTTGTCTAATGATAAAACCTTGATGCTAGACCAAGCAAATCCACAAATCCCCGATGGAGGGTGTTATGTAAAATTCGTACTCAAAAAGGTGGGTGCTCTCAAAAATGCACCATATCATAAGCTATCCCCCGCATATGCTACCCATGGGTTGACTATTTCGGCGGGTCTTATATACGGGGGAATACGGTAGCAGGGCTCTCCCTAGACTTTTTGGGGTTTCAGCTTTGTCTGATGGATCAGAAAAATGTAATGTGAATTTCTGTTATAACAGACGAAATATTTTTTGAAGTCTATTAGTGCACTAGAAAGGAGGGAGCAGCAGCATGTTAAAATTATATAAGTTATATATAATTGATAGGCTTGGTAGTTGTTACTGAACCTTACTGTAGAGGGTACAATCCCCTCCTTGTACCCCTCTCTCTTCCTAATCGACTCTCTTCTCTCTCGTCAATCTCCCTAGCTAATCCTCGGCCGCCATTTCATGGCGGCCTTCTCTTTTCTTGCTAGCTCAGTTCACAACACAGCAGTCCATTTATCATTGCAATCTACTATGTGTCACTACTATCTACCACAATCGAAGTCCGCACATCTACACGGAGCTGCTCATCCCTACGCTGCTTCTTCAACTTCTTCCTCTTGACCCTAAGCGGCACTGCCTCTTCGGCTTCCTCTTCTGGCTCTGCTGCTGCCGCCGCCGCCGCTGCTGCTGCTGCCTTCTTGCGGCGCTTACGGGAAGGGAGGGGCATGCTGACTTCTCTGGCCGGGCGCCGCTTCTTCGGCCTCCGCCGCATCTCCAGGACATCATCGAGAACGACATCGTACTGCAGAAGGGACATGCACATCAGGTCCGAGAGGCGGGCAACGCACAGGTTACCGCGAAGCCAGGACTTGATAGCAGTTTGGCGATTGAAGCCGAGCTCACACTCAATGGTGCTGAGTGGGAGAACGGCGACAGCCACCTAGATCCTGATTAGGTTGGGGTAGGTAGCTAGCCAGTCCGACGAGCGCCAGACGTTCTTGAGGCAGTTGAGAAACGAGTGATCCTTGTAGTGGCTGAACATCATGCGTGAGAAGGGCTTCACTTCACGCTCGGCCGCAGCCCAGTTGATGCCTGGGGCAGGGTTTATGCAGACGTGTAAAATTAACAAGGCATTAGCATTGAACTCGGTCCTAGAGTGCATAACACATGCATTTAGTTGTGCAAAGTAACCAACAGACTCACCTGACATGTTACACGACTCAGCGCTGAAGAGTTGCTTCAGCGATGCGAACCACTCGGCGCAGAGACGATCGAGCCGGGCGTAGTTGTCGGGATAGGCATCGGCAAAGAAGAGCTTGGCGCCGCGGAGTGTGCTGAGGCTCGCCATGCGGGTCTCCAGGTTAGTGATAATGTCCTGCGCAAACAGGGAGGCAAGGGCAATGCAGGACTCGAGATCTCCGAGGCTGACTTGATCCTTCAGCTGCTTCTCGTGAAGGCGGAAGGTGTGCGTTG